CCAGTCCTGGGCAGTGCCTCTCAGGTCGTGCTTATTCCTGTCCCTCTGTGTCTGGCCTCCTCAGGAGTTCTCTCCTCCAGGGATCAGCAGAGCACCTTCTCATTGCAGTGGGGACCCCCCACCCCCCCACCACCCCATCACATCATTTTATTACCTGCACTGAACTCCCAGCACTTACCACCTCCTTGGGACTGAATACCTCCAGGCATTGCCATTGCTGGCTTCAGTCCCTTGTGTTTGTAAAGAACAGGTTTTGGTTGCCAAGGTCTCTTCTTGATGAAAGATGTTCCAAACTCCTGTTCCCAAGAATAAGGCTTGTCTCCCAGGTTACTGGTGACAGCTGTACTCAGCTTGTTCAGGGCCTTGGGTGAATGTTTTCTGTGTGTGGGGCCTGCATCTACATAAACAATTTGATTTTAAAGTGTAATTAAAAATTCTTGGCCCAAATGAGGTATTGTGACATATCGGCAAAGGTTTAGAATAATGGGGAGAAAAGAGGTAGTAACACTTTTTTATTTTCCAATCTGCGCAGTGAAGATTCTTTTGCAGGGTCCAAGAATTATCTTTTCCTGTTCAGGTCCAGGAACCATCTCTTCGTGTTCTTTATTGTCAAACGTCATTCCTGGTTAATTTCTTATCTTCCACCATGAGAAAACGGTGACAATGCTATTGTTATGCACAATGCCATGGCTCTTAGGGATCTATTTGTATTGAAATAATATGGATCCCCTTGTCTCTGCAGTTTCCTATGACCCCTACTACTGTGTATTTAATGCTGTTTGCATCAGTATTCACAGGTACTGAGCGCTGAATACTGAGTACTGAGTACAGCCCATGTGGCCGTGGCAGAGTGGGAAAGGAAGGTTACAGGGAAACCCCCTCAGAAACTAAAAGAAACTCATTTAAATGTTCTTGGGCAGCTCTTTAAAGAGATATTTACCGTCCAGATCACTATCCCAAAACTCTTCCACAGCCTGGGACATGGCTTTTAGACATCAGTCATCCATTCCCTCCTCTCTGCTTCCTTCATACTTTCTTCCTAAAGAACAAAATCCTGATTAAGTGCTTTCTGCTATCCTCAAAAATAGGAATTCAAGATTAAGAATAATAACATCGCTGGGTACAGTGGCTCATGCCTATAATCCCAGCACTGTGGGTGGCTGAGGCTGGAAGACGGTTTGAATCCAGGAGTTGGAGACCAGCCTGGACAATATAGTGAGACCCAGTCTCTACCAAAAAACAAAACAAAAACGAAAACAGTACGTGTAGTGGGCCTGGTTCCACCATCGGCTCTTTCTGCTGTGCCATGGGGGTCTTCTGATTGTTTGAACACAGACCATTTCTTTCCCTAAGGGAAATCCACTGAATATTCCCCTCAGTGTAGCTGGGACAGACCACAGCTTCGAAGTCTTCACTGCACTTTGGAAGACAACAGAAGGACAACTTGTAAGCACTTCAGCTTTCCCATCTGGGGCTCCTCTGATCAGCTCACTTTGTGGGCACACTGCTTGTTCTCAAAACCTTAGCCTCTGCTCCTGCCTTAATGGAAGAGCACCAGCTTATGAGTCACCACCCAGAAGTTTCCTTCAATGTCTTAAGACTTCATGATCAAGATCCACAGTAGCCCCTAACTCATTCTATGGGGCCAGCATTACCAAATCCAAAGGAAGACATCACAAGAAAAGAAAACCACAGATCAATATTCTTTATGCAGATAGATGGTGTAAGTTCTAAACAACTGCTGTGTTTACATGCAAGTACTCTGTATGCAGAGCCTCCTTTGCTCCTTCCAAGGATCCCACGAAGTTGCCCTCATCTAGGCTGGAAGAGGCTACGTGACTTATGTGCAGTCACGTACCTAGTAAGTGGCAGACCTATGATCCAAGCCTAGCTTTTCCCACCACACCACCCAGTCCTCTGCATATGGCAAGAGAAACAGTGGACCCTGCATGTTTGCGCTATTGGTCTCATCACCTCCATAAGGCCTCTTGACCATTTGACCCACCAGAGTAGCCTCTCTCTGCGGTTGAGAACCTTCCCAAGACCACAGACCCCACTGACCAATGACTCTTCAACCCAAGATCACACATCAGTCTGTGCACCGTAAGGGTTAGGTGTGCAAGAAGGAGGTGGTGTGGGAGGGCAATTCTGCCACTCCCTGGGCAAGTCTTTAACTCTCAGTCTCCTCATCTGCGAAATGGGGACAAAGCTCTAAACACTGACAACACCAAATGCTGGTGAAGATGTGGAGCCATGGGAACTCTCATTCATCGTTGGTAGGAATGCAATGGTGCAGCCACTTTGGAAGACCACGTGGCAGTTTCTTACAAAAGGAAACCTACTCTTACCATATGATCTAGCAATTGTTCTCCCTGGAGCTTATCCAAAGGATTTGAAATCTACATTCACACAAAAACCGGCACATGAATGTTTTCAGTAGCTTTGTTCAGAACTGTCAAAACCTGGGCACAACCAAGATGCCCTTCAGTAGGTGAGCAACAAATAAACTGTGGTGCCTCCAGACAATGCAATCTTATTCAGTGTCAAAAAGAAATGAGGTATCAAGTCATGAAAAGTCACAAAGGAACCTTAAATGCACATTATTAAGTGAGAGAAGCTAATCTGCAAAGCCTGCAGACTGCATGATTCCAACTAGCTGACACTGTGGAAAAGGCAAAGCTATGGAGACAGTGAAGAGATCAGTGCTTGCCGGGGGTTAGTGGGAAGGGATGGACAGGCAGAGCACAGAGGAAGTTTAGGGCCGACTCTTGTGATACTGTGATGGTGGATGCATGTTGTTATGCATGTGTCAAAACCCACACAATGCACAGCACCGAGTGAGCCCTAATGTGAGCTCTGGACTCTGGGTGATAATGACATGCTAATGTAGATTCATTGATCGTAACAAATGTACCACTTCCGTGGAGGATGTTGACAGTGGGGAGCTTGTGTGTGTGTGTGTGGAAGCAGGGGGGCATATGGGAACTTAGTGTATTTTTTCTTTTTTTTTTTTTTTCTTTTGGATGTGCTTTTTTTCAAAATGTTTTCTTTTAGGTTCTGGGATACATGTGCAGAACACTCAGGTCTGTTCCATAGGTAAACGTGTACCATAATGGTTTCCTGCACCTATCCACCCATCTCCTGGGTATTAAGCCCCGCATGCATTAGCTATTCTCCCTGGTGCTCTCCCTCCCCCACCCTCCTGGCAGGCCCTGGTGTGTGTTGTTCCCCTCCCTGGGTCCATGTGTTCCCATTGTTCAGCTCCCAACTCGCTGTATTTTCTGCTCAGTTTTGTTGTGAAACTAAAACTGCTCTAAAAAATAAAATCTATTAAAAAATGGGGGCAACATCACTCAGGTCTCAGGCTGGGTTAAATGAGCTAATACCTATAAAAACAGTTTGTAAACGGCAAGATGGTTTATTGACATAAGCGATTGGTACTATTATGTTTTAAAATCCCAGATGTCCCAGAAATCTACAGTGGGAGTTCAGGTCAATCACTTTGACTTTCGAGGTCCCAGTGTCCTTAGCTACAAACCAAAATAATGCTACTCGTTCTGTGTTTCCCTCCGCTCCCCTCTGACAGCCTCTCAGAGGGTAAAGGGTAGTACTGATGACGGTGGGAATGGCCGCCACTTGTGTCTAGGTACTCTATACACATTTTCACTTAATCCTTATAACCGCCCTGACTTTGCAGATGAGAAAATGAAGCACAGTTGTGGGGCTGGGGGTGAGGTGGGGGCAGCGCCGGGAAGGGAGAGAGGAGAAGTAACTTGTCCTGGGTCATACTGCTGGTCAGTGGTAAAGCAGGTTCCGGAGACTCAATGGCCTGTACTCAACCTCCAACTTTACCCCTGTATCTCCCAGGTTGACCCCTACAAGGAACCCCAGGGGGTGGCTCCATTGCTGGTCACTGGGATTGGCCTCACAATAACAAAAGATGATCAGAGCCAACATTTCTTTCTTTTTTTTTTTTTTTTTTTTTTAAGATGGAGTCTTGCTCTGTGACCTAGGCTGGAGTGCAATGGCACAATCTCGGCTCACTGCAACCTCCGCCTTCCAGGTTCAAGCGATTCTCTGCCTCAGCCTTCTGAGTCGCTGGGATTATAGGCACCCACCACGCCCAGCTAATTTTTGTATTTTTAGTAGAAACAGGGCTTCACCATCTTGGTCAGGCTGGTCTTGAACTCCTGACCTCGTGATCCACCCACCTCACCCTCCCAAAGTGCTGGGATTACAGGTGTGAGCCACCACACCCCATCTTTCATAGCCAACATTTCTATAGGACTTTGAAGGAGTGAAGGACATCCCATCCCCAAATACACCAAATTGGTGTATTAATTACTTTGAGTTGAAAACATTGGAGAAATTGTAGTTTCAGAAAGGGCAAGCTGACCTGTCTCTTCCTGCATGCAGCAAGCCCTAAACATTCCTCTGGGAGGGGGTCCCTCTCCATACAAGGGGGAGAAAATAGCCCTTATCACCATAGACTGAGAATTGGGAGTTGCAATGGTCCTGCATAAAAATACTCCCCAAAGTAACCCTTATCTTCCACTAGCTTTATATCTCTATGTATCTCCTGGTGACTTCCTTAGAAATTTACTGCCCCTAGCCAGATACCCTGTGTCCTGTCATTTCATCTCATATTTATCTTTCTTTGTCTAAATATAAAAGCATCTTTTTCTTTGGTGACTTTGAACTTCACTCTCTCTCTAATTTTTTTTTTTTTTTTAAGAGAGCCTTACTCTGTCACCCAGCCTGGAGTGCAGTGGCCAGATCTTGGCTCACTGCAACCTCCTCCTCCTGGGTTCAAGTGATTCTCCTGCCTCAGCCTCCCAAGTAGCTGGGACTACAGGTGCACGCCACCATGCCAGGATAATTTTTGTATTTTTAGTAAAGACGGGATTTCACCATATTGGCCAGGCTGGTCTCGAGCTCCTGACTTTGTGATCCACTCACCTAGGCTTCCCAAAGTGCTGGGATTACAGCGTGAGCCACTGTGCCCGGCCGGGCTTCGCTCTCTTATGAAGATCCCCCAGGTAGTACAATTTGTGCACTTTCCTCTCTTTAGTCTGCCAGTTGTTGGCAAGGTTTCTAGATCCAGCCAAAGGGCCGAAGGGGGATTGGAGGTGATCTTTGGCTCCCTAACAACTTGCTGTGAGACAGGACTATTTCTAAGCACGTGGTATGCACTGTGTCATTGAATTCTTACAGTAACACTGTAATATGGGTCCCATTATGCTACCCACTTCACAGCCGAGAAAACGGAAGCACAGAATCCAGAGAGCAGAGAACCTCAGACCCAAGAAGGAAAGTGGGGATCCGCCAGTCTGAGTCATTTGTTGGACATGCTGCCTCCTCGCAGGCAAGCTCAGGTTCTTGAGCTGCTGTAAGGCAAACTGCGACAAGGTGAGTATGTGTATGTGTTGCACGTGATGCTGTGTTTGGTAGCTTTGGGAGCTACCAAATCAATGCCAAGGGAGGCCATCCCTGGGCCTCCAGAACCCTGTGTCATGCTGAGTTTGCCCCAAGGGTGCCTGGCTGAACAGGCTCCCTCCCCACCCAGGATGACTTTTTGTCTCCAAATTCCAGACCAGGGAAGGGGAGTCAGGAGCATGGAGCTTTATTTGCTGCTTAGCCACAGAGGAGGCCTGTGGAGCAGGAATGGGGCAGAGTCAGGGGAAGGGGCAGGCAATAGCCCAAGGAAGCAAAGAACCTGGGACAATGAAGAGTCCGCTGGAGATCCTGACTCCCAGTAGGAGTGACCCAAGGCTAGAGGGGAGGGGAGGAACCAGCATTCCTGCAGGCACCTCTCATTTGGTACCTACAGGCTCAGAGACCCGATTTTAAGTAGGAGTTCCTTCAGAGAGGATATCTTGGGTGGTGATCCAGAAGATAAGGCTTTAGAACCAGCCAGCCTGAGTCCAAATCCTGCCTCTCCTCTCTCTAGCTGTGTAGACTTGGTTGAATTACTTAACCTCTCTGGGGCTGTTTCCTCTCCTTTCAAACGGGGATAATGATGGCAGACACCTCACGGGGGAAGATCTGTCCATAGCCTGGTACAGGAACTGGCGCAGAGTAAAAACTCAAAACACATCGGCTGCATCTCCACTGTCAAACAGGGTTTCTAATAGGACACAACCATGTGATGAGGGTTAAAGGAGCAAAATACACAGAAAGTGCTTAGAAAGGATCCTGGCACAGAGAAAGTGCTGATGGTTTTTATTGTGAACATCCTCCTTCTCCCCACCCCTTCTCCTTATCCAGGCAGGGCACTCAGGCGCCAGGAAGGGGACTGCTTGACTTCAGTGTGCAAAATGCAAAGATGGCATTGTCAGCTGCCTCCCCACAGAGGTGGAGGAAAGATGGGGCTGCAGGAATTCGTTAGCACCAATTAACACCCCGAGGCTCCCTTCTGCTCTCACCCTGGTCTGCTTCCCTGCTGGCTGGGGGCCTGGAACCACATGGCAGAGGAAGCAGCCAGGCCCATGGGAGAGGGGAAACTATGGAACCATCAGCAAAGACTGAGGTGTCCAGCCAAGTCCAAGCAGGTATTATTTCTATTCGGAATGGAAGGCTCCAGAAAGGAATGAGAGGCATGAGCGTGGGGCAGGCCTGGGTCCTCAAGGCTATAGACAAATACCTCTCCTAGCCCGTGGCATCTGATACGTGGAGTGGGGATCAACCCATCCACTATACAACAAATGTACTTTCGGTCAGAATCTAGCAATAAAAGAAATAAAACAAATGTTGGAAAAGAAATGCAGACAGAGAAAATGTTTTGTTGAGCTTTATAAATACATATATATTTCTTTTTATTTAAAAAAAATTATTGGCATGCACACGAATATACACATTTGTTCCTTAACCACAGAGGAGGCCCGTGGAGCAGGAATGGGTCAGAATCAGGGACGGAGCTGGCAACATATATCCACATGAATACACACACACACACACACACACACACACGTACTCATGTGCATGCCAATAAAACTTATACATATATATTCATATGCATGCCAATAAAATTTTTTAATAAAAATGAAAAGAAGGGAAATAGTAATGGATTAGTATTTTCTAATCATATTAGTGTTTTTCAAAACAGGAGAAAATGTATATCAATATGTTAATCTGTCGCAGTAGCAATTAAAAGCATTACAGCTTGTGCAAATCCGTGGATGACAACATAAAATTAATCTTCTTAAATTCATGTTCAACAGGCACCAAAGTGATATTTGTCCATCTATCTTTGCTTATAATTAAAGAACACTTTTTAATTAATGGTTACTTTGAAAAGTTACTTTCACATGAAGTACCAAATACATAAATTAGGAAAATCTTAAATATAAGGATAGGTTTTATAAAGATGCTGAAAATTCCATTTCACAAAAAAATTCCAATACTGGAATTTCAATACTGTTTCTATCTTTGTTTCTTCAGGATCAATCATAGTGGTTTTCACATGTTTCTGTAGCCAAAAATTTCTCATAAAATATTTTCAACTGAAAATTTGTTCATTCTAGTTGGGAAGTACCTTCTGAAGTTTTTCTCCTGCAAAAATCAGAGAAAATGGCTGAAAGATGGAGAACCTTGACATGAGTTGACCAGTTAGGAGGGGCAACCAAACTGAGTAATTCAGGTTCTATCTCTTCATCTTTACAACGACTCTATCATCAGTGATAATTTTGAATCCACTAAGATTTAAACTATACCAGAAGAAAGCTTGAAAGATTTCACTGCTTGGGGCCAGGCACTGTGGCTCACGCCTGTAATTCCAGTGCTGTGGGAGCCGAGGAGGGCCGATCACTTGAGGCTAGGAGTTTGAGACCAGCCTGGGCGACATGGTAAAACCCCATCTCTACTAAAAATACAAAAAATAGGCCGGGCGCAGTGGCTCACGCCTATAATCCCAGCACTTTGGGAGGCCGAGGCAGGTGGATCACGAGGTCAAGAGATCAAGACGATCCTGGTCAACATGGTGAAACCCCGTCTCTACTAAAAATACAAAAATTAGCTGGGCATGGTGGTGCGCGTCTGTAGTCCCAGCTACTCGGGAGGCTGAGGCAGGAGAATTGCCTGAACCCAGGAGGCGGAGGTTGCGGTGAGCCGAGATCGCACCATTGCACTCCAGCCTGGAAACAAGAGCGAAACTCCATCTCAAGAAAATAAATAAATAAAATACAAAAAATAAAATAAATTAGCTAGGTGCAGTGGTGCATGCTTGTAGTCCCAGCTACTCGGGAGGCTGATAGGGGAGGATTGCTTGAGCCCAGGAGGCAGAGGTTGCACTGCAGCCTGGGGGACAGAGTGAGATCCTGTTTCCCTCCCTCCAAAAAAAAAAAAAAAAAAGAAAAAGAAAAAAAAAGATTTCACTACTGTGAAATCATTCTCCAAGTGATTGCGTACAACAGCAAAGTCTAGGTGTGCCAGAGCCCACTGCATAATTGGGAGCTCTCTGAATTAACTCACATGCTGAAAACAATGTTTATTAAAGATTAAGTAATAATAAGTGCCAATGTGCAGTGTTCTGTTATCCTCTGCAACACATTCGGCAATAGGCACAGCAATTACAGAGAACTTAGACCATCTAATGTTTGTAAAATGATAATGACCACAGTTTCCTTTTCTTGTGATGTCTGTTTGGATTTCATATCAGGGTCGTGCTGGGTTTATAGAATGAGCCAGGAAGATTCCTCATCTTCTATTTTCTGGAAGAATCTGAGAAGAATTGGTTTTGATTCTTCTTTAAATGTTTGGTAGAATTCACCAGTGAAGGCTTCTGGTCCTGGACATTTCTTTGTTGGGAATTCTTGATTATTTACTGAATCACTTTATTTCTTAAAGTGCTTTATTTCTTATAGCTGTTTAGGTTTCTTTTCTTCCTCGGTTTTTGCAGTTCTAGGAAATTGTGGATTCCATCTAGTTTTCTGGTATACAATTGTTCATATTTTCTTATAATCTTTTCTTCTTTCTGTAAGGTTGGTAGTAATGTCCCCAATTTCATTTCTGACATTAGTGATTTGAGTCTTAGCTCCTTTTTCTTAATCAGTCTAGTTAAAGATGTGTCACTTTGTTGGTCTTTTCAAAGAACCAGCTTTTGTTTTCATTGATTTTTCTCTATTATTATTCTGTTCTCTATCTCCACTCTCTTTCTTTCTTTTCTTCTTCCTTCCCTCCCTCCCTCCTCCCTCCCTCCCTCCTCCCTTCTTTCTTTCTTTTACTTTCTTTCTCTTTCTTTCTTTCTGTCTTTCTTTCCCTCCCTCCCTCCGTCCCTCCCTCCCTTCCTTCCTTCCTTGACAGGATTTCGTTCTGTTGCCCAGGCTAGAGTGCAGTGGCACGATCAAGGCTCACCACAGCCTCAAACCCCTAGGCTCAGGTGATTAACTCTCAGCCTCCCAAGTAGCTGGGATTACAGGCACACACCACCATGCCCAGCTAAGGTTTATATTTTTTTGTAGAGATATAGTCTCACTATGTTGCCCAGGCTGGTCTCAAACTCCTGGGCTCAAGTGATCCTCCTACCTTGGCCTCCCAAAGTGCTGAGGTTACAGGTGTGAGCCATGGTGCCTGGCCACTCTCCACTCTAATCTTCATTCTTTCTTTCCTCTGCTTGCTTTGGGTTTAGTTTGCCCTTCTTTTTCCAGTTCCTTAATGTGTGAAGTTAGTCAATTGATTGAGCTCTTTCTTTTTTTTATAAGAATTTATAGAATTTTATAAGAATTTACATTTCCTTCTAAGCAGTTTTCGCCAAATCCTAGACATTTTAGTATATTTTGTTTTTGTCTCCATTGTCTCCAAAGTATTTATAAATACTTTATAAAATACTATAAAGTATTTTATAATTTTCTCATTTCTCTTGTAATTGTCCTTTGATCCAGTTATATTTGAATTTTAAGAAACAATGAGTAATTTTTTAGTATGTGTAATTCCCATACACTATTTGGGTTCCTTTGTACTAAAAATCATTTGTTTTTTATCTGAAATTCAAATGTAACTGAGCCACCTGCATTTTATCTGAGAACCCATTCCAATAAGAATGTGAAGACACAAGTGGTACACTCTGGGAATGTCTGATGTAAGGGAAGAAAATCGGACCATCCTAGGGAGGCTCCCCTTTTGAGGGAAAAATACAACTCTTGTCCAGGGAGCTACAGCCTCAGGAGAAGAGGAAGGGAGGGAGCAGCACAAGCTTGGAAGGTGGGGGCGAGATTGCAAGGGGAGCTAGGCTTTGCACCAGGACCTTCCTCCTTCCTTCAAGGCTTCCCCACGTGCACCCCAGAGTCTACACAGTGCTCACCACCCAAAGCCCCCTTCTGTGTAGTCCTCGGACTCCACCAGCCGCTTCTTCCAAACTGGATTTCCCTGACAGACGCCAGGGAGGCACGGGAAGGGGTGGCTGGAGGACAACATCATTAAGGCCTTTCTCCTCAGTTCCTGGTTCCCAGTACCCATTGGGTAGGAGAGTGACCCAGCTGGCCTGCCTTTAGGGTAGAGAAGGACAAGGCTGGGGGGGATAGGGCACTTACAGCCCTCCCCCGAGTCATCCACATTCATATGCATGTGCACACACTCACGACACACACTCATGGTCACGCTCACAGGCACCCATTTACTACATACACATTCCCATGCACGACTACGAACACAGGCTCACAGAACACGCCAGCTGGATAACCATGGCCTCATACACTCAGACCCATGGAGGCATGCTCCGCTCACACAGGCACACAGCCCTGCACATATTTGCATACTTGTCTACACTCCTTCAGCCCTGTACACGATGACAGACAGATCACAGTCACAACAAATCCTGTACACTCCCCCACCCTCTCTCAGGCTCTCGGTGTGTGTGTTTCTCTGCATGTTCTCCTGCTGTCTGTATCTGCATGTCTGTCCATCCTCCACCTTCCCACCCAGCTGTCTGCCTCCCTCCCTGCAGCAAGATTGAGGGAGGACAGGCAGGCCTGGTTTCCTTGACAACCGGGGACCCTCTACCTGTCCTGCGGGGCCCCAGTTGGCTGGAAGGAGAAGGTGCTGGGGGGCAGCGTTGGCTTGTCCAGGCGCTTGCTCTGAGTAGGACTGGGGGAGAGGGCAGGGAGAGTAGGGAGGGAGGGATGGGTGACCATCTGGACCGGGGAGCATGAGCTGCAGGCACTGCCCAAGTGCTCCGAAATGGCAGATGGGCATCGCTGTGCCTGGAGGAGCTGGGGCGGGGGCAGCCCAGCATAGCATATGCAGGAGCTCCTCCACTGCCCAGCCCAGCCCTCTCCCAGCCCCTCCCCCTTACCTCCCGAGTACCTTCAGGCCTGACTGATGCTGGAAAAAACCCTCTTCAAGCTCCCTTTCCTGGGACCCAGCCAGTATTGAGAGGTAAAGTCGTGCTGGGGCATGGGGGACGGGGAGCGGGGGACACACACCCCTTAACAACCACCAGAGCTCTATGCTCTCTGCGTGCCATTCCCTTCGGGGAAACGCAGCTCCTCCTAAATTCCCATTTTGGATCCTATCCCTGGAGGCTGCTAGGGAAAATTACCCTGGCTGTGCCATGGGAAACCCAGAAGCGTGGTTCTAATTTGCACACGTCCCGCAAGATGGTGAGGAGAGCTGTGGCTCCGCTTCCTCTCAGCCCCTTGGGTTGTGCAGGCTTTTCCCTAGTACAGAATCCACTAGGAAGACAACCGGCTTATGCCTAGCATCCTGTCCTCAAGGTCCTGAAAGCTGGGCCTGAAAGGCAGGGGACTAGGGAGGACAGCTGGAGGAGGGCCCCGACCAGCAAGGAGCAGAGAGGAGGAAGATGGGTTGCGTGTGGAGGATGGTGCTTCCAGAGACAAGAGACTGCTGGTGTTCCCTTCAAGAAAGAACCTGCAGGCCAGGTGCAGTGGCTCAGGCCTGTAATCCCAACACTTTGGGAAGTGGAGGCTGGAGGATCACTTGAGGCCAGGAGTTCGGGACCAGCCTGGGCAACATAGTGAGACCCTGTCTCTGCCAAAAATTTAAAAAATTAGCTGGGCATGGTGGCATGCACCTGTAGTCCCAGCTACTCCAGAGGCTGGGGTGGGAGGATCACTTGAGCCCAGGAGTTTGAGGTTGCAGTTTGAGCCATGATTGCACCACTGCATTCCAGCCTGGTGACAGAGTTGAAATCCTGTCTCAGAAGAAAGAAAGAAAAGAAAGAAAGAGAAAGAAAGAAAAGAAAGAAGGAAGAAAGAGGAAGGAAGGAAAAAGAGAAAGAGAATGAAAAGAAAGAATGAAAAAAGAGGAAGGAAAGAAAACAGAAAAGAAAGAGAAAAATAGAAAAAAGAGAGGAAGGAAGGAAGGAGGGAGGGAGGGAAGGAGGGAGGAAGGAAGGAAGCAATGAATGAACTTGCAGACCAGCTCTGGGAGCAGTGAGCAGCCTCCAGCACCTCCCGTCTGGCACATTCAATGTCCGCTCTTCCCAGGCAGCCCCCAGCCAATGCCTGGGCACCGCACGGGTGCAAGTGCCCGGCCACAGCATCCCATCGCGGGCCTCTTCACACCGGCAGTGTCCACCCGGATCTCCCTGCTGGGCTGGCGGAGACTCGGTCAGATCCACATCGCCGTCGGAGGCGCTCTCCGCCCATCGTCCTTACACGTGTTGAAATCCCCGACAAACCCATTGCACTCCTAACGCCATCTCAGGGTCTGCTTGCCCGAGGACCCCAGCCCGCACAGATGCCGGGAACCTCACGCCGAGTGCTCTCCGCGCGCGCGCGTCTGCGGGAGACCCGCGGCCTCCGAGCAAGGAAGCGGAGCGCGCCCGGTGGTGGGCACCCCGTGGAGCTGCACGTGGAGCGGTCTCGGGCGCTGCAGCCTCAGGCAGCTCCCTGGAGAACCCCAGACAGCACTGCACCAACCGGGACACGGAGGCCCAGGCAGGGAAAGGGTTAAGGCGGAAAAAGACTGGGGGCATCTTACCGTCAGAATGCTTGTTTCCTCTGCTCCCCGTCTGGTTCCTGCAGCTCTTCCCGCCGCCAGCTTGGCAGGGACAACTTTGCCCTCCCTGCCCCCACCCTCGCCCCCACCCCCCGACCCTCCCTTCTCGGTTCCCAGGCCCCAGACTGGGGCAGGGATTCTGCTCGCATGAATGCTCCATACCGTTCAGATGCGCGGGGGTCTTCTGAGCGCACTTTTAGCACGATTGACCAGAACTACTTCTTCTTTTTTTTTTTTTGAGACGGAGTTTCGCTCTTGTTACCCAGGCTGGAGTGCAATGGCGCGATCTCGGCTCACCGCAACCTCCGCCTCCTGGGTTCAGGCAATTCTCCCGCCTCAGCCTCCTGAGTAGCTGGGATTACAGGCACGCACCACCATGCCCAGCTAATTTTTGTATTTTTAGTAGAGACGGGGTTTCACCGTGTTGACCAGGATGGTCTCGATCTCTTGACCTCGTGATGCCTCGGAGGCTTTTAATTCTGCGGGACGAGAGTGTCCCACACTCTCTGAAGGCTGTCTCTCTTCCTGCCAGTGGACAGGGGAATTAACCGGCTGATTATTTTTTCTTATGCAAATGCTCTCTGCAAAGCCCAGCCCAGGGTAATTTCTACCTCCGATTTTTAATGAAGTGGGCTGTCACCTTGAAATAGCCCTGACGCCGCTGAGCCAGGCCTGCTCCGTACCCCTCTGGGGTGCCACTCTCCTGGCAATGCCCGGCCACATCTGGCACCTTTCTAGGCACTCACCCCTCCCAAGCAGGAAGAATGGCGCTTAGCACGTGGTAGGAGCTCAGTAAATATCTACTGATTAAAACTGAAGATGGTAAAGTAAGGAAAGAGAAACACGCTCATTCCTATGTGGCCGGCGTGAGTCACCTCCTCATCCACGATCTCATTTTATTTCTCACAACACCTCCCTGCGGTGTACACCAGGACTGGAGATGAAGGAACTGAGGCCAGGGAAGGGATGCAGCTTGTTCAATGTTACACAGCAAGTCGAGGCAGGGTCGGGACTTGGCCTGAGATGGTTCCTTGAGACTCTCCTGCAGCCTCCAGAAAAACCTAGGAAGGAGGCTGGTGGCGTGTCCACACTCCCCTTTATATCACAGATCACATCTGTCTGGAGTCAATGGGGAGAGAGGCCAGCACGGTTGCTCACGCTTGTAATCCCAGCACTTTGAGAGGCTGGGGTGAGAGGATGGCTTGAGCCCAGGAATTTGAGACGAGAACAAGCAACATAGTAAGGGCCCATTTCTACAAAAAATAGTAAGTCACCTGGCGAATAGTGACGCATGCTTGTGGTCCCAGCTTCTCAGGAGGCTGAGGCAGGAAGGAGGATTGCTTAGGCTTGGGAGGTCATTGAGGCGGCAGTGAGCTGTGATTGTGCCACTGCACTCCAGCCTGGCTAACAGGCTTTTAAAAAAAATAAGTGGGGGGAAGGGAATTTTTGCTCCCCCACCGCCCTCACCTTCCCAGCCATCCGGGGTTCCATCAGGACCCCTGGGCCCATCAGGCAGGGGCAGCAGCGACAGCTTCCTGAGAAGCTGGGCTTGGGTGTAGAGTGTTTGCTGCCTGCGGGGCTCACCAGCCCCCCTGTGTAGTCCTGCGGGTCAGGTCACCAGCCTCACCTGTCAGTTTCTCGTCTGCCCTCCCCCAGGCTGGCCCAGCTCCCTGACTCAGCCCTCCCAAAGCCTCTGTGCCCTTGCCTACCCTCCCAGCCATGCCACTGCCAGGCTGCCCTGCCTGCCATTGGGTTAAGGGATCCCCTGTCAAAACACCCCAAAGGCCTATCACAGTGCCCAGTGCCCTTCATTTACCCTAAGATGTATGTTGGGGCCTTCCGAAGTCTAACTGGACAGACGTAATCTATTACCTGGGGGGTGTAGACCACCACCAGGGCCTTGTGCTCAGTAGTGCTGTCAACACTCATGCCCCACTCGCTCTTACCTAACTCCTGAAAGATCATGACTAAGGCCATGGGGTCCCCGTTAGCATGGTGCAAACGGACACCAGGCTGCCTGGGCTTTCATCCTGGCATTGCCACCTTGCAGCTCTGTGACCTTGGGCATTTACTTAACCTCTCTGTGCTTCCAAGTGATGATGAATGGAATGGTTGCTTATAAAGTGCTTAGCACAGTGTCTGGCCTGTGTGAGGCCTCACCGCTGCTCTGGATAGGATGCTGCTTTCCGTTTTCGAAGCTGGTATATCCAAGGCACACTGAGGTTTCCATCCCTGCACTGCCATTTTTCAGATGTATGACCTCGGATAGATTGGCCCCTGAGCCTCAGCTTTTTTTTTTTTTGGGGGGGGGGGTGGAGTTTTGCTCTTGTTGCCCAGGCTGGAGTGCAGTGGCATAATCTCGGTTCACTGCAACCTCCACCTCCCAGGTTTAACCTCAGCCTCCTGAGTAGCTGGGATTCTAGGTGCGCGCCACTATGCCTGACTAATTTTTGTATTTTTAGTAAAGACAGGGTTTCGCCATGTTGGTCAGGCTGGTCTTGGGCTCCTGACCTCGTGATTCGCCCTCCTCAGCCTCCCAAAGTGCTTGGATTACAGGCGTGAGCCACCGTGCCCGGCAAACCTCAGCTTTGTTATGATCTCGGGTAGATTGGCCCCTCAAGCTCAGCTTTGATGTCACCTTGGATAGATTGGCCCCTGAATCTTAACCCTCCCAAGGTTCTGTTCAGAATTAAACTCTGTAATATAACCCTCTGGGTAACCCTTTCCTCTGCTGGGGGAAGTGCAGGCAGGGCAGGGTCCTGCGTTGAGCTGTGTATTCCCACCACCTCCTGGCAAAGGCAAGTAGGCTTTGCATTTTATTACCAGAGGGGACATTTATGGCCATACCAAAGCAGAAGTTGCCAGCAATAGCCATCTCTACCTTTTGGCTTTCATTTTGCCAAAGCTGGAAGCCTGTGAAAGGGAGTGGTCATGCTGAGTCCTTGGGTGAGGTGGGAAGGGGGCTGATTATGACAGAAGGGAGACAGACTGGGGTGGGGGAGGAAGATTCTCGTGAGTCCCCTCCTCACTAGGAAGGGAAAAGAGGCCCATGGATCCCACAAGGAGAACTCTAGGAGGTGGCCAGGGCTTCACAGAGGTGGCGCCATGACAAGGTCACGTAGGCTTGGGCAGTGAGGCCTTCAGCAGCCACGGTCACGAGTGAGTCCCCCAGGTCCTGGTGAGATCTGGGAGCCAGAGGAAACCCTGAACAGCAACCAAGTGGCCTCTCTTACCAGTGCAGGATGAACTCTCCGCAGAGCAAAGAAGATTTGGTGGAAATAGAGTGGGACCCGCCCACACCTGAGTTTGGGACTGGGCTTCAGCTCCGCACACCAAGCCCTTGTGCTCCGGGGGGCTGCCTTTGGGGTCCTTTCCACCCTCACGCCTCTGGCCCGAGTGCGGTGGGTCCTGGCGTTACCAGCCTTGCACTGAAGGACCTTGTAGGTGTGGCCGACCCTCTAGCTGGGAAGCGGGACTCCTCCATAGACTCACATCTGTGTCAACAAAGGGAACGTGGGTGAGGAGCTGCAGGGACCTGTTCGTGGCTGGAGAAGGGGATGTGTGCCTCCAGCAATGACCCCACCCGGCTGTTGGTTGGAAGTCTGGGAGAGTCCTGACACACTCACTCCCTGCCACTGGCCGGTGCTCCGACAGGCGTGGGCACTGCTCTTCCCAGCGGCCCCAGTGCCTGTCACCCGTCTTTTTTCCTGTCCCTGTCATCCTGTGATGACGAGGCATTGTGGGAAGGTGGAGAGCTGGGCGGCTCTCCCTTCTTCTGTTCTTCCCTCCTTCCTCTGCCCGACCCTGTCACCGTCCTGTCTCTGGGCCTGTCCTCACCCCACCTCGTCCTGAGCCAGGCACCGCGCGAAGGGCGGGGACAAGTGGGTTCTCTTCCTTCCTTCTCTGAACACAGCTTCTCTTTGTGCCCATGACGAACCTTTCCAGTTCTGACCATTGCAGACCATCTCCCACAGCTCCCAGGTCACACAGAGGGAGGGGCTGCATGGCGGGCCGCGGCCCCCAAGGCTGGCCCTGCTCATCTGGGAGCTTGGCCCCCAGCACGGACCCTCCAGTGGGACCCCAGCACCTGCCCCCCTCCTCCCCGGCTCTGCCAACTGGAATCAAAGCAGCATCGGAGAGAGGGGTGCTCCCCTCAGACTTCTCTGCATTCTCCATGGGGAATGTGACCACATCAACTGCAGAGCAAAGTCATTTTCTCATTTTCTGCTGTGACAATTTAATATCATACATGGTTCATCAAGATGCACAAACAGAAATCTCCTACGACCACATCAAGTAACCTGGGCCCCTCCCCAGCATCCAGCACCTGCAGACACCTGCTGGCAGCAGCAGAGAGTAAGGGGTGAGTCCCAGCCATGAGCTGCCACAGCCCATGGAGCAGGCAGCCTTCCCTCCCCCTGCCCGGCCCCCAGCCTCGGGGTGGGTAAGCAGTGGTTTGCCAGTCAGGGGCTGTGAGCTCTGACTGTGGCTTTGATGTAAGTGGTTTGGGTTCCCTTGAGTGGGGAGCTCATTCTCTCAGTCCCTCTATTGCTCATTTGCAAAAGAGGAGGCCTGGACTAGAGCCCTCTCCAGCCTTGGTGGGAGGGGACCGAGGAGGAGGCGAGTGAGGGTTTGTGCATGGAGAACACACCTGGTTGGGGACAAGATGGCAGGGCCGTGCCTCCATCAGGACCCACTTTTCCCAGTCACCTGGGCAGGGGGTTTAACACAGCATCATTCCTCCTCACTCAGTGCAGGGGAGGAAACTGAGGGTCTGCCATCACCCGGCGTGGGGGTCAGGCAACCACTCACGCAGCTAGGATGGAGCCCTGAGCCTGTGTGACCAATACCCACATCCTGCTGCTTCTCAGCCAGTCCCCCACCAAGCTGAGCCAAGTCTATTTTGCAGGCAGCTTCCTTTTGCAAGGCACCCTCAGACCCTCCCAATGGCCCGGCAGGAAGCAGGGCTGGCCTCAGGACGCTGGGTCACAGGCAGGGACTGAAGCTCGGGAACCAGACTGACCTAGGATGGGGAGCAGAAAGCCAGGGAGCAGGGTCTGGGCCAGGACTTCACGTGGGAAGTGAGGCTGCCGGGGCGCCAGCCTGGAGGGCTGAAGCAGGGCTCAGCGCGCACAGCCAGCCGGCTCGGCCATTGGCCAGCAATTCTGTCCTGCTTCCCCCACCCAGTGCCAGAGACAAAGTCTCCAATGGCCATGAGTGGGGGTCCTTGGGCCCCAGGAGAGAGTTGGTGCCCCTGAAGAGTGAGCTACAATGTGGCCTGCCTAGGTGCTAGACAGTGTGGGAAAGGGGCTGCCCACCCTAGCCCCAGCCAGGCGTAGGGTGGGCCAGGGAGAGTCCCCACAGTGCAATCCACTCCTCCCTGCACTCACACACCCCTGGGGATGGCGTCATAAGTTTTGGAGTCAGACAGTCCTGGCTTCAAATCCCACAGCTGCCTTTCCCTGGCTGTCGAGGGTGGCCTTGTCTGACCCTGGCCGAACACCCTGGGGGCCTCTCCCTGCAGCCCTGGAGTTGGATTCTCTGGAGGAGCCCTGGCCCCGCCCCTTCTTAGTCACAGGACCTGGGCAACTGACCTGTCAGCTCAGCCACTCTGAGCCTCGG